CTGTCTGTTCACTACCGCAACGTCGATGAAAAGGTAAAACAGTGAATCTGAAAATGATGTCCAGTCGAAATGTTTGAATAACCCCGTAATTTCCAAAAGCGAAAGAAGAACTAATGTAATGACACCCCCCGTAGTTAGATTAGTGGCTTAAGGAATGGAGTTGTGTACGGCATGATTATGATCACTCACACTTTCAAAACCAAATGATATTCATCAGCTCACATTTTCTACGGCTTCTAATATTACTCAAGCCCTAAGACAAAAGCAGAAAAGTTCACTTTTTTCACTCTACATACATTCATCACCTTTGCAGAGGTGGGCTGCATTAGCTGAGCAAGTCAGATCAGTTCTCAGCGAGTACCCAAAGCTCAAACTTACTCAAGGCAGAAAGGTATAAGATTATCTTGCAACATAAATTGTTTCTTATGTGGTTCTAGCGAAAAAGCATTCGATTACATTTTATGTTACAAACGATCCAACATTCATGCTAAACAGGTGGTCGAAATTCGTCCAATTATCAACTGGGACAAGGGGAAGGCTCTTGAATACTTGCTAGAGTCACTAGGTGAGTTTCTGGTCCATATTGAGAAGTTCCTTTTTCCCACGCAAGCACCCTACGTTTATCAGTTAGAGTCATTAAATATGTTCACGATGCTTGTGATTATCAGGACTTGACATATAGTTGAAAGACATATACCTCAACTGGTTTCACTATCTTATTTAATGCATGAATAGAAGTATTTGCCTCTTGTGCTTCCACATTTGATTTTTTGGGCATGTTTATTGCTTAGACCAATACTCATTCGTGCACTGACTGTACCTGTATCCTGTGACATTAAATTTACGTAGGATATGCTAATGATAGCAACGTTCTACCCATCTATATTGGAGACGATCGGACGGACGAAGATGCATTTAAGGTACAATAATTTCTAGGGCACAATCATATGCTCAGTCCCTTGAATGCTTTTTTGGTCCTGGTATTGTTTGAGTGATTCTCACCAGTTCGACGGTTTTAGGTTTTACGTGACAGACGACAAGGAATGGGAATCCTCGTGTCCAACGTAGCAAAAGAAACATGTGCCTCTTATTCTTTGCAAGACCCACCTGAGGTATGCAATAGAGAGGGAATTCTTTGTGCGCGCTTGCAATTATTGTGCTTTGCTTTTGAATTATGGTGGGTTCCTTACGTATGCTCGCGACTTCTGGTGATGTAACAGGTGATGAGCTTTTTGATGCGTTTGGTGGAGTGGAAACGGCACACGAGCCGGGCACGCCATCTGTTCTAAACAGTAGAAGAAATTGGTTTTGAATGCCTTCGAAATTTAGGAGGATTATTTACGAGTAAAACGCAATTGTCCCTTTTATTTTACATGATTTGTTCTCTCTTTTAGAGGGCTGAGCCATGAGCTGAAGCTTGATACCTTATTTGCAGTAGTAAGATATGAAAGATGAGAGTTGCATGCTTTAAGAACCCCATCTCTCTCTCTCTCTCTCTCTCTCTCTCTCTCTCTCTCTCTCTCTCTCTCTCTCTCTCTCTCTCTACTTCAAAAAACACTTCGCTTCTCGTGGGAATCAAGAGAAGCGTCGCAAAAGTCAATGATGCAATTGCTGCTTTGTAAAACTTCTGGATGTGGATGTGCTGTCAACTATCAATAAAACATTATCGCCTGTTAGTGATTTGGCAGATGTGGAAAAAAAAACCTAGCTTGTACTCTTGATCAGATGGTTACAACCTGGAAAGGAACATGAATTAGGCTCAAGGATGACTCGACAGCACAAGTTCAAAGCAAACCTACAAGAAATTGAATAAAATTAGTAAAATCTAGCAACCCGATTGAGTGTGCATCTTTCTTCTTTCCTAAGATTTGATGTTATAGTCACGAATCTCTAGAATCTCACTTTTTGTATTCTGGACGTGTCCCCAACTTTTGAATGGATCTCATTTTTTGGACGAGGGCCCAATGGGCTGGTATATCAGCATTTGGTATGAGGCTTGGCATCGTGCCAGCTCATTTTTTATATATGCTAATCCGCTGCTGCCACGTGTCTGGCCACGATCTCTATTATACCATAGTTCAACGATGATGTTTTTTGACCAAAAAATAATTGTTCCTGCACTTTCTTGAATTCTTAATTGGTTTAGTATCATGCCAACCACTTTTATCATATGCGCGCCAGCCGCCCGTGCCACTTGTCTAACCATGACCCCCATTTCCCGAGATACTAGGTTCGTGGCCTAATTGTCTCTACTTCTCTTTTTCCACGTTGGCATTGTTACAAATGACTATTGTCAATCTCGCACATGCCAAATCTCCTACTAGCCAAACTTATGCCAATAAAAATCTAGCTGTCATAATTCATATAACCCCATATACGTATAAAGCCGATATCTTACTTGCTATTGTCAATGCTTTGAAAAACCAATGTCACTTCCAAAATAATCAATACCTATTTTGGCTATTTTTAGGTGTCAATACCCCCTCAAATCAATACCTTGATTGACATATTTAATGTTCCTTTCATCTACATATTAGTCCATCATATTAGGTGCATCTTAACACATCAATATTAGGAATATCTAATCGATGACAATGAAGTACTATCAGCTTCTTTATCAGTGAAACGTTATGAAATTAGCTCCATGGGATTGGCTTGGTGACTAAGGAATGAATAAGTAGGTTTCGACTAAACGCACCAAAATTGATTTTGTAGCAGATATACTGATATAATTAACTTAATCCAACACCCCAAATATGTTGGATAATCCTTTTCAAGCAGCGCTTTAAATAGGAAAAGCCACTTTTCAAGGGCATATTCATGCTACTGTTGTCTAAAGGCATGACTGACAAATATTAGGCGACAACCGTTTCGGTAAGCAATATTTGGCCCTATTGTTGTCTTAGTTCTGGTAATTGACTCCGTTTTTCCAACATAATACAACAATCAAAACATTGCTGCTAAACTCTAGTGCAACGTTCCTTTTCCTTAGAGCAACACAGCAACAAGATTGCTTAAATCATGAAACTAAGCCTAACGAACGTGCCAGATTGGAGAGTCGAACCTCACACCTTCAATTGATTGGAGGGGGAATAAGGGTGCGAATGGTATCCATTCTGCTCCAGAAATCAAATTCTTGCCAGAAATTGATTTCTAGAATTCTTGCCAGAAATTGATTTCTGGAGGAGAAATCTATTTGGTAAAACATGACTAATTCTGCTCCAGAAATTGATTTCTAGAACAGAAATCTGTTTTGATTTGTTGATTTTTTTTGCACCTAAAAAAATTTAAATTTTACTCAAAGTAGGTGGCCACATGTATTATAAGCCATTCTGTAAAGTTTTGAAATTTTTGATTTTTTTAAATTTTTTTTAGGCACCTAAAAAAATTTAAATTTCACTTAAAGTGGGTGGCCACAGCTATTCTAAGCCATTTTGTGAAGTTTTGAATTTTTTTATTTTTTTATTTTTTTGGGCAACTCAAAAAATTTAAATTTTACTAAAAGTGGGTGGCTACAGATATTTTAAGCCATTCTGTGAAGTTTTGAAATTTTTTTTTTTTTTTGGGCACCTCAAAAATTTTAAATTTCACTCAAAGTGGGTGGCCACAGGTATTTTAAGCCATTTTGTGAAGTTTTGAAAATTTTTATTTTTTTATTATTTTTCTTTTTTTTTGGCACCTCAAAAAATTTAAATTTCACTCAAAGTAGGTGGCCACAGGTATTTTAAGCCATTTTGTGAAGTTTTGAAATTTTTGATTTTTTTTTGCACCTCAAAATATTTAAATTTCACTCAAAGTGGGTGGCCACATGTGTTTTAAGCTATTCTGTGAAGTTTTGAAATTTTTGATTTTTTTTATTTTTTTAAAAAAAATTCACCAAATTTCATTTTTTCCCGAAATCTGATTTTTTTTTATTTTCTGGAAATTTTTATGAATTTTTCTAGAATTTTTCAATTTTTATGCATTTTCTGAAAAAAAAAATTGTGACAAAATAGGGAGAATGCATTCCGGAATCAAGAAGCTACAAAAAGTAGCTTCTCTTTTTCTTGCCAAAAACTCATTCCGGAATCAAAAATGCATTCTGGAATCATGAATGCATTCTGGAATCAAGTATTTTTAACAAACGCATTTTTATTCCAGAATGCAAAAATCGCTTCGGAATGCATTCCGGAAATTTTTTAACAAACGCCATTCTGTTCCGGAATGCATTCCGGAACAGAATTTTTATTCCGGAATGCATTCCATGCGCACCCTAAGCAGCCGAACTAGCTGGTTGGCCATTCATTCTAATTAGTTGGAGGTGGGTGTTGAAGATGCTAGCTTTGCATACGCTCTCCTTCTCCCTCTGTTTTCTCCTTTTCTCCTTCCATTTTTCTTCTTCTCGGCTATTTTGTTAATGTGGCGCTCACTTGGCACCACATCAGCATTCACTCAGCACCACATTAGCGTCAAGTGTGACAAAAGCTACTACGAAAAAACCATGTTAGGTTCAAAATGGACGGAGTTAACGAAAGTACTTTATTGTACTTTTTGAGTAAGGGTTTAAGATTCTTGCACTATTTCAAAGTTTTAGAACTTGATTATACAAATTAAAATTCAATCGCACTTTCCCTCGGATCTTTAGTGCAATTATTTGACAAAAAAAAGTCTTCCTGAAGAAGCTTTTATATATGCCTAAAGAAAAAATTAGGGTCTCTGAGCTATCATTAGAGTGAATTAAGGATATTGATGCTTCAAGAAACTTCTTTGGAACCTTAAGTTTTCTTGGAGTATTCTTTACTTGGCTTTTTACATTTTGCAAATCTTGTGACGCATGCATTTTGATTATTATTTTTTTCAATCTTAAGCACCTGTCCTGCAATATAAATCTGGTTAATAGATTATATTTTATCAAGAAAGTAATTATTTTTTACTTTTGATAGGTCCAAACAAGCAACCCCTAGGAAGAAACGAGGACCGTGATTACAAAAAACACCCATCTAGCTAGTATCAATACGAGAGGTGCAAAAACATACGAAATATACATATACACGGTGGAGAGAAACTGTATACAGCCAAATGAAAATGATAATGAAAAGACAAACCCTACAAATTTTAGGGTTTATAAGATGAAGAAGAGGTATGAAAGGACTCAGATAAATCCCTCCTCGGGGTTCGACCTTGCAAACACTGCAGTCGAAGAAGGGAATTAGCAAAAATTAAATTGCAATATCACCGCATTTTTCACCACTAGCTTCAAATAAGAGAAATAAAGAATAATGGCCACATAAAATGACGATTTCGATCGTTTTAAATTCCAAGATTTCGTCACATTTCACGACGTCAAGTACATGCTTGCAATCCATGCCATCTTAATAAGCTGATGGTATTCTCAAAGGTCTTTGCGCTCTGTTTCGCAATCCTGGGAAAGAACACGAGCATCTTTTCCCAGTGTATCGACCGTGAATCGGCACAAAGCAACGTACCTTGAGGTCGAACCCTCTATTTTCCAAATTTTCCTTCTAGCCGGGACGTTCACATTCAACGCAAACGTCACGTGATTCTTGGTCTTTTGATTGCTTGCCAAGCTTTCCTGCATCTCCTTAGGTAACACAGTATTTGACCCGTTGAGGACGACATCCACGGCCTTCGACGTCTTGTGGTTCTGGTCGAAAGGCGTGTACTTTCCCGTCGCGATCGCCTTTTGTTTGAAAGCGAGCGAGACAACCCCACCTTGCTCGTAGATAAAGCTCGAATATGCGTTCGGGTTCTCAACCTTCAATTTGACATCGTATACGAGTTTGGTATTTTTGTCATGCGACTTCGTCAGGTTCTTGACGAGGAAATTGTCGACATGGAAACTAGGGTTTTTCAGCTTGAAGAAAACGGAGGAAACGATGGCAAGAATGGTGATGGCGAGGACAATCAGGACGATGGTCAAGAAAAGGCAACAGCAGCAAGAACAACAGCACGACCGCTTCTTCTCCCCTGCGGGCTTCTGGTGGCGCTCGACAATCAAGGCGTTCTCCGGGGGCGGCACACGGTAGATCTGGTCTTTGGGGATTTGGACGACATAGGTGTCGGAGGCAAACGAGTGCTCGGGACTGTGGGGATTGGAGACAAGAGTGCGGTCGGGGTTGGCTTCGTGATCGCCATCGCTGCCGCTGCCTCCATCGTGCTGGCTGTCCGCCTTGGGAGGAGGTGGGAACCGCTCCTCCATGGGGAGATGGGGAGCGGTGGAGAGAAGTGGGAGGGATGGATTGTGATATCAGAGAAGAGGTTGGCTTGGCTTGCATGGGGGAGGGTTTGGTGGTTGCATGAATTGCTGGATTGCGGGGGCGAGAGACAATTTCACAAGGGAAAGGTTATAATTAGAGATTGCTTAACTGGGTCAATCGGTTTCATTAACCGTTTCTAATATACACAAGTGCATTTCGTCGTTTGAGTCTATTAAGTAACAAACGAGCTAGAACTTCAATCGATTACTTCTTTCCAATTTGCTTTCAATCCATATGCTCTACGACAACTAATGTTTTTACTATCGTTCAACCATGGAACTAAATTTAAATTTACATAACAATTCATCGATATGGACGGCTAATAGATTGGAATTTTGTGAGCTTGATATCGATTGGAACTTTGACCAATCAGTTTAAGCTGATATCGTCAAATTTTGCCAAGTGAAAAAGATAAATTTTCTCCGCAGCAATACAAATAGGTCTAGTCGAGAAAAAAGGCAGAACGGCATATTATTTTCTGAAGAAGTATGCAGCTATATAGTACGTTCGAATAAAAAGATTACACTCCTTAACTAAACTTAAATGGAGGTTAAACTAATAATCATTGAAGTCGGAGAAGAAAATTGCCATAAAACGCACTTAGGAGAAGGCGTTTTCTGTAAATCTTGTAAGGAGTTCTTTCTCATCGGAGTTTATTGCGGTGCCCTTATGAGCTTGATGATATGAGACATGATCCTAAGATAGAAGTTGCAAGATTCATAATTGTGTGAAAGTTGAGAAAAATTGCTTCAACCCATCAGATCTGGTTCTCTGCCGAAAGGACTTAACAATCGAAAACATATTAGCCGCGCTCGAATTGTGGGACCCACTTGGATGTTGTGGAACTCATGCAGGACGCACCCGATGATCCGGCAGTTCATGTGAGCCGAGTCACATAATTTGGATGCGAGCAATACCTACTCTTAAGAATCTATCGATAGTACGTGGAAAATCATTGCCATATAGCGTTACATTAGCATATTGCCGAGGGATGTAAGGTCAGAGTCCTAGACCTGATCATTTCAATTTAAATGAAACCCATTAAATGGACAAATTGGGCCAAAAACAATGAAAATATGTAGATGATATCATATATTGTCACGAAACCTTGGTCGGGTTTCACAAAGGTCACTGCATTTCAATTTCATGCGGTGAATGTCTTGAACTTTTGTGTAGTCGTTGTATGTTTCTCTCGGATACGATCATTTTTACTAAGATTTTCATAGACAAAAAACAACTTATTCAGTTTTGACATTAATTTAACACTAGTCAAAGCATGACAACACTCGACGTTGATTTTACATGTCTATATTTTCATCGTATCTATCTATTTTTCGAATACGGGACAAGACTGGACTAATTAAAGGAATTTCCTATCATATCCTGTGCTATATTCTACACGAGACAGAAATGGAGAAAACCAAATGCAGCCTAATGTTTCACGTTCCCATGGAAAGCTCAATCTGAAACTGTGGTATTGGATTCTCAGCTCCCCCAGTTGAAAATATTCCCACTAAGAAATGAAGTTCTCCTATCTAACCACTGACCTTAGAAATGAAAGGAGTCAAACCTGTCTTCAATACACGTAGCCTTGCTCTAGAAAGGCTTAAAACCAATAGGCCCGAGGCCCACTGGTACAAATCCAACATACATCTAGGGAGAGGGGAAGCGGCGGCCCTTTCTTGATCTTACTCCATCCCCTCATTCTCCTATCTCTTGAAAAAGGGAAAACCTTCCGGCCAAAACTTCTAAACTTATTGTATTACGATCAATTCAGTCATAATTCTTGTAATTGTGCAATTTAGTCCGAATCCTTTTGACGATTTGCCAATTTAGTCATAAACATTTTGACGATTTGCTAATTTAGTCATAAACTTATTGACATTTTGTCAATTTAGTCATTTTGGCTAATTTTGACTAGAAAACTGACGTGGTGATCTAGTTAACGTCGGTTGTCCTACATGGCACAGGGCCGAAGCCGGCGATGATGTGAATACTTTTTGCAATTTTTTTAATTTTCTGAAATTTTCCTTTTTCCTTTTTTTTTCTTTTCTTTTTCTCTTTTCTTTCTTTTTTCCATTTTCCCTTGTGCCGGCAAGGGCCTTGACACCCTCGCCCGAGGCCAGTCGTCGACCATTGCCAAGACAGCGATCGATGGAGGAAGAAAGAAAAGAAAATTAATAAAAAATTTAATTTTTTTAAATTGCAAAAACAGTCCACGTCAATGCCGGTTGTGACTAAATTGGCAAATGATCAATAGGTTTTTAAGGCTAAATTGACACAATTAAAAGGTTTAAGACTATATTATCAAAAGGTTTATGATTAAATTAGTACAATCGAAAGGTTTATGACTGAATTGGCCGTCGTACAATAGATTTTGAGGTTTTTTCAATAATTTTTCCCCGGAAAAATAAGATTAACATGAGCTTGGAAGCACACCAATCGTTGTCAAATATCAAATCTCAACTTGGCTATTCTATAATTGGAAACTATCCGTAGCGATCATTAGGCATCATTGGGAAACTACATGGCGCCGAGGATCAACACACCATGCGGTCTTGGCCGACACCAGGACACATAAACCCGGGTCATGGCCAACTCGCCCGACTCACTCGATCCCATGCACTCTCCACATCTGGTTCGTGCGCTCAATCTACATGCACACACAAATGCGCGCCCGCCGGCACCAATGAAATCTAAACAAAAGTCAATCATATCAAACACGCGATGAAAAGCCGCCTCGATGTGCACCGGGTAATGCATCCGGCGTTTATTCTCAGTGACAAAGATGTCCACGAAATCAGCCCAAGTCATTGTAAAAAGACCTTGCTGGCTAAAAGAATAGGAACATAAAAATAGGAAAAAGAATGAGGGCGGCGTCTACCAAATCACATGGTAGGAGGAAGGATTGGAATCTTTTTGGGCCCGGAAGAAAGCCGAGTTCCTCACTTCTCTTCCCCACAGATGAATCGATTACGTGCAATCCCGGATCGAGCGGAGCACATGCACCTTTCCTCTGTAAGCTTCATTAAACAATGTCACTCACATTCGATTTGCTGGCTTTTGGCGCAGCTTTTGCACTCAACTCTTTTCTTTGACGCAACCAAACTTGAGGTTCACACGCTTATCGACTTTCACTTTGCATGGATCACAAGTCTGGGGAGAAAGTAAGGTCACATTGTCACATCATGCAAGACTAATCGAGGCTTAAATCGCTTTTGGCGACCAGTGTTCCGACTCATTCCGGGTCGCGTTCGGCTAGCATTCCGGGACATCTCTCGACAGCAACCGACCGCATCGCTTTTTCCCTAATTCGCCCGTTTCGAAACTGCAAAAGAGCAACTCCGCACGCATGTAGCATCATACATCTCGCTTAATTAGTTAATCTTTGCAACTTGGGTATCATCAAAAGGTGGATCGATCTATGGTAGTAGAATAGCCAAAGGGTCCCGAACCAAAAGGCGAGAGAGATAGATAGCCTAAATCGATCCTCATCCTAACACGCAAGGTGGGTAATGGGTTGAGGGGCCAACCCTCGCATGAGCATCCATAATTGCATCCTCATTCCTCACTCGAGAACCCTACTCAAACTTTCTTGGTGGCCCCTCAAAATTCTCCTTTTCTTGGCCTTCTAATGAGGATAGTCATGAGAAAAAGTTGAGAACCGATAATTCGAGTTAGAATCGAATCGAATCGAAATTCCTAAAATATTAACGCATCATATCGTTGAGACGTCCATTCAAAAAGGAAAAGACGCAAAGCCAAATGATTTCCTTTAGCTTACATAAAAAAGTTCTCTGCAAAGCAGACCAAACCAATCACCTTCAATCTTTGTTTATCATTCTTCACATCTTTACAATGTCCAAGTCCTACACAAAATATGTAAATTCGCTTGGCAAATCATTAACTTTACTTTGTTTTTTCGATCACTTTGTTTTTGCATCGTCACAGAAGAGAATAATACTTCAAAAACTCCCCCACCGTCAACTGGTTGGCCTATGAGTGAAGTCCAAACTTTTCCATGTTTACTGAAGAACTGCGACAAAAGTATCCTCTGACAACGAGCTAATCTGGATCAATACAAGTTGAAAGTGGTAAAGGTAAAGCTAAAAGGAGAGGGCAATTGAGTGGTGGCAGATGTACCAGTGGCCAATGGGGATGGACAGTGAATAATGAATATGATCTGTCCAAGGCATAGAAGATGGGGGGTAGGACAGTGTGGTTGGCTTTGTTAACTTTGATCTATCTTTCCATTTATTAAATAATGCTAAAGTATACTAACACTGAGCAAAATTAACATACTAACTGGTGCAGTAGGTTCGTGTTAAGAGTTTAGCATGACCCCCTTGTTTAAAGACTGGTTTAAGGTATATGCTACGTCGGTTCGTACACAAATTTTGTAGTCCGATCTCATTATACCTAGCATCATTTGCAAATATTTAATGGGTCTGGCAATCTTTTGATAGAGAAAAGTAAAGGCCAAGAAAGAACCTCCGATTGAACCGTGACCCCATTTCAATTGGGAAGCAAAAAGCAGTGTCAAACCCCCCATTGGACTATCAAATTGTAAAAGAAAGAAACCAAAAGAAAGAGCAGGGAGAAAAGGCAAAGCAAAGCTGTCCCTCCTCCCCTTTCCTCCCCTCAACTTTCTTTAAAACCCACCAGCAAGTCACAACTCAAAAGCCCAAAAGCACACGGTGCAGAACCAACTCACCTGATCATCGAAGTCACAAACTAATCAGGAAAGAACAAGGTCCTAGAGAGCAACAAGAAAATAGAGGAGACACCATGAGAAGAAGAGAAGCAATCAAATTAGGAGCACCTTCAGCGGATTTCCTAGTATGCTTCCCTCCTAGGGCCCACTTACAGCTGATGGCAAAGCCAGTTAGTAGCCCGGCAAGACCCTCAGAACCCAACCAACTCCACCCCCATTCCCACCACCACCAGCCACCACGACACCGCCATCGCCGGTCCAAATCTTTCACCAAAGGTGCCCAAGCAAGCCCTGTCTTATGGGTCAAAACCAAGCAAATTGGCCCGGTGACGTCCGAGCCGACCTCCCCGAAAGTCACGTGCGCCGGGCAGATCAAGGTCAAGACCAAGACTGGAGCTTGCAAGAGCTGGCAATCAGTGATGGCGGAGATCGAAAGAATTCACAACAATGACAAGCGTAAGAAGAAGCCAACTTGGGGGGAAGCGCTTGGCTTCAACAAGGACATAATGCCGTTCTTGACATGTTTGAGGAACATAAAGTTTAAATTTCGATGTTTTGGCTCTTTTCCTGATGCACAGATCACTAGTGATGACGAAGATGATGAAGACGACGACTGTCGTGACCATGACAACAACCGTGTGGCAACAGACGGAAATGATAACAATGAGACTTCAAGGACAGTATTCTCTAAATGGTTTACGGTCTTACAGGAGGGTAATACCAAGATCAAAGACTTGCCCAAACACGACAGGAAAGAGAAAGGAAGGTCTTGGGATGATGGGTCTATTGATGCACCTGTTGTTCCTCCGTCGAATGCTCTGTTGCTTATGCGGTGTCGATCAGCTCCGGCAAAGACCTGGCTGGTCGAAGGAGAAGAACAAGAACAAGGCGAGAATTGTGGAGATAATAAGGTTGAGCGAGAAGCGAATAGAGAATTAGAGACCAAGAAGAACTTGAAATTGTTAATGGACGAGGCAAAGAGGGAAGAAGAGGAGGAGAGGAAGCAGAAAGAGTGCTTCATGTTGAAATACGATGCAGATTACTATGATATTTCAACCGATATTGCAAAGGAAACTTGGGTATCCAGCGGACTGAGAGATGCACTGTTGAGAAGTCGAAGTTCCAAGAGTTGAAGTTGGCAGCTATATGGTGTTTTTATTTTGTTTTCTTCTTCCTTTTTTGCTTTCTTGTGGTTTGTTTCTCCAGATATTCTGTCTTCCCAGGGGACAGAGGACTGCTAATACCGATCTCTGGAAGTATTATCGTTTTCTACCACGGTTTAACATTGATTGCAACTGTACAGCTTCCTGGTATCCTATCAGCATCAGTGTAAATCTCGGAATGTACTCATTGATCTATATAAAGATTGCGTTGCTTCGATTGTTTGATCTCCAACTTATTCTGCCTATTCTGTATCATTATGACAATGGGCTTCTTTACTTTGTAAAGCCTGAGTCTTATGCACAAAGAAAGAGAGTTAGGAATATGATGTAGTTGAAGAGACAAACGGGTAAACTACGAACAGAGGATTGTAATTTGTATCTTCACGAGGATAATTTGAGCATTGAAGAGTTACGTTATTTTGCATTTCCTGAGGAATCCGTCCCTGATATCCTTGACCGATGTTTGTGCAGTACTGGTCACCACTTTTTTCATCTCGCATATTGGGAACATTAGGATAACTCAATTTGTTCTTTCCATTTGGACATTCTGCAAGAGAAGCTGACAGGGAAACACAGCATAGTTTGAGGGGGCAAAGCTCACTTTATCAGTGACTCTGGAGAGGGGAAAAAGTAAGAGTTGGCAGAGACAAATTCATGCATTTACTCGCAATTTTATCTCCCAGTATGGGCCAACATTAAAGCAACGAACACGTGACAGCCATTTGTTCTTAGAATTGAGGGTTTCATGCTGCAGAGGCTCATCTACGGAGATCATCAAGAGACCTTAGTTCCACTGTTAACATATCTAGCTATACTCGATTTCATTCAAAAGTTTAAGCCAGCGATCAAGCTTGATAGATTAACCGTTCCGTACTATAGCAATTATCCAATTGGAGACTCTACCATACCAGTACCTTCCCAAGACATACCAAAAAGTCAAGGGCATAAATACTGTATAGAGCAACCTCATGATTTTTCTTACAGTTAGTCCTGCCAAACTCAAACCTATCAAACCTTATAGCTATTTAAGCACCAGTAGCTTCCTACTGATCAGGATCTATTATTTCACAGGTATAGTAGCAGCTCCCGAACTAGAACATTTACACTAGACTTGAACTAGCATGTAAGCTATTGACCAAAAAAAAAAAAAAACTAGCATGTAAGCGGCAGAAGCAGTAAGGGAAGCTGAAACTTCAGTGAACATTATCAAAGTGTTCATGCTTGTGATAAGGGGAATTGACAGTGACCGGTATAGGCCTCTCAGGACTAAAAAGTGATAATTTGCCATGAGTTGCTTCTTTACCTGTAACAGCAAACAGGCGAGATTTAACTATTGCCCAGTCGGGCTTTGACCATACCAATGCGACACAACAGCACTCGAGCCTGCCCTCGGAACAATTCATCTCACATGATGAAGGTTAAATTGCCTGCGAGGCCTCTATTAAGAGCACTTTGAACATGCAACTATCTTTGTTTACTGAATGTTTCCTAGCTATCTAAGTCTTTCATCCATCGGTATAGTATCTGTCGTGAAGATCCAGCATCAATTCAGTTGCTGCCACCAAATTTTTGTTCCACATGAGTGCAATTTTAACTAACATGAAAACATAAAAAGTATACGCATTGCAAATGACAAAATTGTCAGTGCGGACTTCCAAACTATCAAGGTTCAGAGAATGTGCAGTCATCTAAAAAACTAAAGTGAAAGTGGCATATTGCAGTTGGCCCATCAAGAGCATCTCTTAAAGCTATCCATTTCTTTCTATATCATATTTGTTGGGAACTTTGCAGACCCACCAATGCTTCAGCATCGTGTTGGGGTTTCACATGTGCATGTCTCATCACAATAACCCCCAAACTGACGATGGGTTCCCTCAATTTATCCTTGATAGAGGGCTACTCAAATAGAATTATAGAGAAAAATAAATTCTTTGGCAAATTAAAATTTGTTATTAAATTTGTCATCCTATATGTCAATTGAAAATTTTTAAGATTCTAAACAGGGAAAATGAGCATATTCATGTATTTTAGATGGCAATTTGGAAGAAATGAAATTTTAGACGGTGGTTCGAAACGTCTAAGAAGCTGTTTTAGTGAAAATTTGAGTCAACAAAAATGAGACTAAAAGTGGAAATTTTAAATTCTAAAGATACTATATGGGTCAAAATACAAGATAAAAAAAATACCAGGCCCCAAATTAATTCCAAGAGGCAAGTCTACTATAGATTGTTGATGAACAGGTTATTTGCATTACATGCCTGTAAACAGCACCAACTGGCATCAAACAAGAGAACCAACAAGACAATACTCAAATGCACTTTTTCTGAAGCAAATTGATGGTGAAGATTGGATTAGAAGAGACAATTGACTGTTCAGCTGGGTTTTGTAGCGGATATCATCACGAAACGCCGATTCCTGGTACATTTGAAATCTTCCAGTCCACATGTTTTGCAGAGATCTTCTAGTTCATGTTCTGATAGGAACATTTGGCTTCCTGACATCCGGAACATATTCTACATTACCAAACAGATATCCCACATTAGGTTTGAATCTTAGCTTAATCTTACAAAGTTCAGTCGCATCACTGGAGGAGAAAAACATCTTAACCAGAACATGAATTGGAGATAGACAACCATCTTTTCCATATAGAGTGCCTCGCAACATGGTGTTTTGGAATAAGAGATATACAAAGTACTCGTCCAAATGATGTACCGTTTGCATAAGCTTCAAGAAAGGGTTGAGAGCATAAGGACCATCATAGATCATGGTTGTGGCAATGAATACTCCACCAGGCCGTAGAACTCGACTTATTTCAGCAACCTACAACACCAAAAGGGCATGATAGGACATCAAATGGTAGTGAAAGCCAAAGAATTAGTACAACATATTGTCTGCTTTCTGTTGGTGAAAGGGTCTCAAGTATATGAACAAGCGATGTATTGCTCATACGACAGAGAAAAAGCAAGGTTAGAAAAAACTCGGAAATCCTTACAGCTGATGAAGGAGAAGACCAACAGTGAACAGCAGCGCCGGCGTGCACAGCATCGACAGAACTCGAAACAAAAGGGAGTCTTGAAATGTCAGCTCTAACAAGAATCAAGTCCCTAAAGCAAATTGAAAGATTAGCCAAATACAATACTAGAGAGCTTGATGAGTACAAAATTCCTTCTAGATTTCTTTTTTATTGCGCCTGTATTAGATGAAGTGGCAACCACCAAACTGTATGAGATAAGGGTCAAAGCCTCACTCCTTCGGGAAGTTCTCCTCCTGCTTAATAAATTCATAGCATTGCTGGAGCATGTTTTCTGAGTAGTCAAGTGCAACAACAAGGGAAAACAGCCCGCTCTTGGCGAAGAGCCTGGTAAATGGACCACTACCGCAGCTGGCATCAATGATATTCCCACCTAAGACGGGCTCAAGATACCCTTTAATCAACTCAAACTGCAGTCAAAGTTTTTAAGTTGATTAGCAAGTAGAGAAAAAGAGATTCCAACTAAATGAAACAATTCGCTTGTATTCTTCAAGAAGCATTCGAATAAGTTGAGCTATAATCAGCAGCAGTGAGACAGTTCACACTCTGTTTTCCCTATTAGACAGAGCAACATTTGCATTGAGCTAGACAATTGAAATCAGAAGGCAAGTTATTTGTCATCCTCAACTCATTATGGAGTACATTTTAGTGGACCTGAAATGAGATATAGTTTAAATTCTACCAGAAAAGTCGTTGCTTTTCATGTTCTTTTGGAAATACAATTATAACAGAATCATGAAATAGGAGACTGTGAATAACCTCCTTTTCTGGACCAGGCCATCCTCCCAATGCAGAAAAGCCTTGACGCCAGCCCCTCTCATAAATATATGAGATCAGCGGTAACCTGAAACGATCAATATATATGCGACCAGTGCTCTTTAGGCATATAAACACATCATTACATTCATCCTCAACCAAGAAGGAAATCTTAAGAGCAGAACAGAACTTGCAATACATGAGATCAATGCACTTGAATGTTATCCTACGCAAGTACGAGGGTCACTGGACTCGAATGTTATACCTGCTGAAAAAGAACAAATCCCACAAACCTGAAAAATTCGGTGACCGGGGCCATGGATTCGGTATATTCCTTGGCTCCACTCGAGGCTGTAAGCTCGAGATGGGTTTTGTTGCCCAAATAAGTCTTCTTACAGGTGCTACATAGCAAAGTAGACTCGGACACAGTATCCCTGCAGAAACATTGAAGTCATCTGATGACGGGGCTGAGTCGAACGAATCCAAACTGAGAGCTTAAGATCTCTCATGACTAATGTACATGTTAGTCCCCCTTTTAGCTTTTACGTAGCTGAGGAATCATTGGACTTACATGGATAATGCTGGACCCGCATGTCTTAGAGGGTCGTAACATATCGGACAAGCTAAAATGCTCTTCTTGGAGGTAACCTCCTGGTCGACTACAATAGGATCCTGCAACACAAGCAAATTGCTAAATCAAACTAGGAGCCAAATTTTCTAGCTGCGAAGTGTTGGAATCTCTTGATCGTTGCAAATACGTTGTAATCATAGTCAACTATTCTAAGTGCCTAGACGAATCTTTGTTTGCCAACGCCTCGGATGATTCTTCATACATCCCCAAATCTCTGACATACACATGATATCAAAGGATGAGGTATTGCGCTCGAATTTTCATGACTCTTCATTTGCCTTTCCACTTGAAATTAATCGACCACCTTCACTACTATGGCAGAATGCCGGACAATGCATCAAGGGGAGCGCTAAATACTTCAAATTACGTAATTCTGTAGCCAAAATGGATCAAACTGCATATTTTCGATGGTACCACGATTCGGATCACCTCAGCTTCGAGACATGATACAAAAGATCAAATTGAGGGACAAAAAATCCGACAGAAACTCGATCGCCACCTCAGAACCATCGTTTTTTGCTTTCGCCGTTCCATTTTACTTTCTACTTGAATTGCTCGTACGCTGCTCATGATCTAACATACCCTCTGACCGAAACGTGACGTGATAAAAAATGCCAAGCCAAGTAAACAGAGATGCAGCATCTCACCGGCAACGCCACCGTTTGAACGGAGGCTCTCACTTTCGCAGCACGAACGCGCTTACTGAAAACCGAGGAGCCGGGCACGAAGGCCGAAGCAGCGCGCGTCCGGGAGCCGAGTTGACTCGGCCTAGCCACGGTGAGGAAGCTGCTGCCGCCGAGCGTCGCCATGGCTCTCTCTCTCTCTCTCTCTCTACCTGCTGAGGTAACGAGGTACAGAGGAAGTCGCCCAGAATATGTTCTGTTTTGGCTTTCACCGACGGGGGCCGACAGTTTTTTAGTTAGAGTCGCCCAATGTCTGCTCACCCAAATATAACATTATTGTCAACTATTTATTTTTAATATTATCATTTCCTAAAAGAACGATTCTTTATTTCTTTTTCTTTTTTTTTAAAATTATTTATCAGTTCTAGCTCTAGTGCAGCAGTTTGTCTCAGATTGTTGTCCGGGCCAGGCAACGGCGTGACGTTTTGGAACGAAATGCGTTTCCATGTACTAGTTGTATTACGAGTATTCATGGGAAGCATCGTCGTCGCGACACTTATTAGGATATACTTTATCATTATTGCATTCATTTTCAAAGTATCGATTGTATATAACATGAGACCCATTAGTATATTAAAAATTGTAAAGTTCCTTTGATTGGTTGCTGGACGAGCGCTTTCGGGGGCACTCTTAACCAAAATCCTTTTGAATATTTCTGCATCGGGCTTGCCTAGTAGTTTTACACCATGCAAAGTCCCGTTTAAGAACCACCTATATACCAATGTGTATACACCGACATATAATGCCGAATATTCGCGGATTAACCGTATTACGTATCATCTACACGTGACTACACAGGCTGATCAGAGCTCGTTTCGTTCACATTTTAAACAGGTATTGTTCTTTTCTAATTTCTTTTAAAGAGTAATGTTACATGAATTAGGATTAACTCACAATATTTTTATCGAGTAAAATGACAGACTGGAAGTCTACGGTGAACATGGAAATTAGCGGACCGTATTCAGCGCCTAACTAGCATTTGCGAAATCAATTTGTAAAATGACACTTCTAATACGTACTTTAGAATACCTACTCATTATTCTATCACTTAATAATCTTCTTGGCTGTTTTAGTAAGGTCTACGTTAAGAGTGTCCCCCTTTAGTTTCTGCTCATGCTGCGTTGACCTCACAATTGCTCCTGGTCGAACGCCTTGCAAAACAATTTGGCCTTGGGCCTATGCGGCCCAAGATCTTGCTCGGCCCACCTGAACATGCTCTCGGCTTCGAACAGGTGGGCCAGTCAAGAGCCGCACCGAGCCTGGGCCGTAGAAAATTAGGCCCATGTTCCACTACACCAAGGCACCACTCCAGGTAAGTGAGATCAAACCTTTTTTTTTCTTTTTTTCCGAATGAGATCATTATTTTCTTTTTCATGAGAAAAAGTCTTGTAGAGAGACCCCAATTCTATTCCGCAATTACAATTATGGAGAATATGGTCAGCTATCGAATATCTGATGAGCATAAGCTGTCTGGTTCATGTGAAGGATAATTGCAACGGTAAAAGTCATACGGATAATCTTACTAGTAATATTGACCCATTGAAACAGGTTTTATGATCACAAGTTCACCATGTTGAGCCAGCAAGTTGCTCGGCAAATCATACTTGCAAGCTTCCCATGATTCCAATATCTTAATTTGATTACTTTTTAACTCGAATTGTAATATTGATCGTTGCCATAGACATAAAAAAGATGTTCATCTTATATTGCAAACGTATCAAATTAGTTGATATCGAAAACCTTTTAAAGCTCAAACCGAGAGTTTGCATGCCCATATGTTTTCAATATGCAGAAGGTACAACTTGGAAGCAAATCAAAGATAATACATTTTATCAGGCTCTTATAAAGCGTTGGACAGGTACCTTCGAATTGCAGCACCTCCAAAGTTGTCGACAGCGGTAAGGAGCCCGCTTCATCTAGTTTCAAGTGTCGCATCTTCCAAACATATATCACCAAACACATATCACCATTCGACCACAAAAATAAAACATGTATCACCAAACATACAAACTCCACGGTCATAGTTCAATCAGGGGCAATATTAGGCCCTAAATACCATCTGGCAAAACCCAATTAGCAGTATATTTAATAATTTCCCCCTGTTTGATTTGGTGGGGGTTTGCACATGCAGTCGTGGTGGAGGAGGAGGGGGGCGGTCCCGAATTTCAAATTCGTACCTTTGATCTCGTTTCTTGGATAACCCAATCCCCCCCCATCTTTCGCCTACCGAGTTTGAAAAAAAATGGGAGAAAAACAGAGAATACCCAGATCCATAAACACAAAAATTTATCCGTTAATACAATAATTCCTCTCTCTCTTCTATCTTCACGCATTCAATTCAAAACCTTTTTCTTTGCTTATAAAAAACAAGTAGCAGCAGAAGAAGAGAGAGAAGACGAAGAGTGGCTGCTACTCCAATATACATTTGTTCACTCCTCCCCCTTCCTATCTTCTTCTATATATATCCAGCTTAAGCTTAAGCTCAAGCTCAGAGGCAAAGCAAAGCAAACCCACCCTTTCCCTTGTACGGAATCTTCGAGATCTCGAGGTCAACCCCGTCGTTTCTTCCTCTCTTCCTCTCTTCCTCTGTGCCCCCGGAAGGAGCTCCTGCTTCTTGCATTGCGAGAGATATAGCCATCGTCGTTGTTCGGAAGGTTTGTTTGGCGTGAGTTCTTTCTTGGGTGTTCTTTCCTTTTTATTTTCTGGGGGAAAAGGAGAAAATGGAGAGGAGCACGCCGGTGAGGAAGCCTCACACTTCGACTTCAGATCTGCTCACGTGGTCGGAGACTCCGCCTCCCCACGATTCGGTCGCGCCTTCTTCTCGCTCCAATGCTCGCTCTCACCAGGTGCGGCGTTCGCTCGATTCATTCTTGATCTTTCGTTTTAGTTTCTGTTTGATGCGATGAGTGAGTGTGCTTCTGCTCTTCTTCTTCTTCTTCTTCTTCTTCTTCTTGGGCTTTCCTTTTTTTAATGGCTTGTTCTGGGGGATAATGGTGTTAGCCTTCGGATGGGATCAGCAAGGTGGTGTTTGGAGGTCAAGTGACTGCAGAGGAAGCTGAGAATTTGAACAAAAGGTTAGATCTGCTCTTCTTGGTTTTTTCTTCCCCTTTCCCTGTTTGTTGATGACGTTTTGCGTTTTTTTCCCCCTTAAATGCAATGTTCCATTTGGCGGAATGGGTCGTTGTGGCAATTTGGTTTCTCCGCCGTTTTACCTATTTGTCCGCATTCTCCATGTTCTCCAATGCTTTGGATTTTCTTTCTTCAGAAATCATGGTTAGATTGTGTAATATAGGTTCAATGTGGATGAGTAGTGATCGATCTGCGGGAAATGAGGGCAGAAACTTTGAATCGAACATGATAATCTTTATCACCTTCATTTAAATTACAAAAAAAAGGGAAATTTTATAGGGTGGCTGTTGATAGAGTAATCTCGGTCAATTGGGTGGATCTTAGAACTTCAGATGCCTTGGTAGGTCGAGCTTGATCGTTTTCCTTGGCCTTAGAAGTCTGGTTGGTTTCTTGAGCTTGATTCTGTTGCAGGCCCTCATGCCTAATTGAGATAGTCCAGTCATTCCCCTTCCATTCAATGGCTGTTCAATTAATAGTAATTAGATGGAAAGAGTAAGTTTGTAAGATGTCAAGATTCGAGAAGTAAACATTTCTTTGGCTACTGTCATATGGGGTTCCTTCAATGTCTAGCGAGCTTCTGCGGTCATGAAAATGCTGATCTGATCATCCCATTGACAATCCACCCAACTCCGATCGAGATACAATTGTAATAGGTGCTTAGCTGATGTGAACTTCTTTTTGATGTCTTTTCAATTTGCGCTATGTGAAATAAGTTATTGACATGTAAAAGCTCTAGTCCATGTAAGACTAGGTTGTTCTTAGTCCATGCATGGAAAGGAGATGGCATTTTGCTCAGGATTGGTAAGTCACACATAATGCATCGTCAACATCCTTCCGAAGTGCTGCAATAGAAACAGCTGTTTGTTGCTAGATTAGGAAAAGGTTGAATCCATGGATAACATGTACATACAGAAAAGTTGTTACATATACAATTACAAATGCATGCACAAGCATGTCCATCTAAAAAGCCAGTTACTTGGCAATTTATCTATCTTTTTTCGTAGACATACAGAATGGGGATGAATATTTGACACAAATGCACATGCACCCACACAAAGGCGCACAAACATGCATGTTTGCTCGCGGGCACACTCTCATACACACGCTACCTTTTTATATCCTCCTTATCAAGAGAGTTTCATAAGCTTTCATAATGCCTTTGCACTGTGACACTGCTAATGGTGCCTTTTTCCTCGTCTTCTCCTTCATAGAGTAGTGCTTTTGTAATCTTCCAGGAAACCTTGTTCTGGCTACAAGTTGAAAGAAATCACCGGTAGTGGGATTTTTGCTGCCAATGGGGAGGATGATTCATTAGAGCCTGGAAGTGCTAACCTTGCTTCAAATAACAAAACAGGATTAAAGATGTACCAGGTATGTTTTACTATGCCGATTGTATTTGACCTTTTAAATTGGTGTTGAGTCCATGATGATGTATGTAACGCTTTTGGTGGTAAATATTACTAGCAAGCCCTTGCTGGCATGAGTCACATCTCGTTTGGTGAAGAAGAAAGCATTTCTCCCAAAAGGCCTACCACCCTTCCTGAGGTTGCAAAGCAGCGAGAATTGAGTGGAACGTTGGAAAGCGAGTCCGATGCAAAGTTGAAAAAGCAAATATCTGATGCCAAGTGCAAGGAATTGAGTGGACATGATATTTTTGCTCCTCCTCCAGAAATTTTGCCTAGGCCATTGGCTGCACGGGCATTGGACACAAATCAAGACATGGGAGAACATGCACCACGCCATGTCCGGACTTCTGTTAAAGTCTCTAATGTGAGTGAAATCTAACATGCTCTTCTGTTAAAGTTTCTTCAGGTCATCTGTTTTTTTATTAGCAATGGAGTTCATTAGCCTCACTAATAGATTCTCTGACTTTATCAGCCTGCTGGAGGTCAGAGCACTATTATTTCCAATGAGGAATCTGTGATGAAAACTGCCAAGAAAATCTATGACAAGAAATTTTCCGAGCTCTCTGGAAACAACGTCTTCAAGGGTGATGCGCCTCCAACGTCTGCGGAGAAATCACTGAGTTCGGCTAAAATGAGAGAGATTAGCGGCAATGACATCTTTGCCGATGGAAAGGCAGAGTCTAGAGACTACTTTGGTGGCGTCCGCAAGCCTCCAGGCGGCGAGAGCAGCATTGCGTTGGTTTAACCAAGCTTAGGCCTAACAGTTTTATGTTTCAATTTGTGTTATTCCTAGTGGGATTTGGTCGCATTTTACACTTCTGGAGTGTGGGGTTTGGGAATTGTGTTTTAGTTTTGAACTTATTGACTAGATGTACGAACTGTTTGCAGACCGGTATGTTGATAACATTGGTTTCTTCAGATTCGGAGAACTCAACCGATTTATATGCTTCAAATTGCATTCTCTGGTTCTTTTCTGGTGGAAGTGTCCAATAGATCAATGGTTTTCTAAGAAAACTTTATATCCCATTGATGTTCAAGATGTATATAGGATATGTCACCACTGTGTACCTTTTCAATTGCATCAAACTGAGCCGTAATAATTTGCAAGTCACTAAGCTTTGGCAATATGCTTGGAATTTCATGTGACGAGAAGTGCCGCAAACTGAGCGGTAATAATTTGCAAGTCACAAGGCTTTGGCAATATGCTTGGAATTCCATGTGACAAGAAGTGCCGAGTGCTGGCAACGTGTCTTGCTGACGGTACAGTATTGCTCAAGGGCATGGTGATGCCATCTTGTGAAGGTCATGCGACTTTCAAGTGCAGCGATTTGACAGGTTCTCGGGAAGGCTCTCTCGTTTCCCCAGGGTCCAACAATCCACTCCAACATTTTCTCCACTTTGAGAAGGTGCATGGTCCGCTCACGGGTGATTTGATTTGGAGAATGGAGAACAATTAGATTAGGAACTTTGACTGGCCTATAACAAAAATAATATGAGGATTCTATCTTTTTCGGCAATCAGTTTGCTTCCCTGCTTTTTCTTTGGGGCAATCCCGCGCCTGTGCTTGCTTTCCTGTTGCGATTGAATTTTTCCTTAATGTTTCATTACCATTGCCATTGCCATTGCGTTCTACCTGTGGAGATTCACCTTGCACCTTTTTGGAATTAGCAGCTGAATTTTGAAAAGTTGGATGCAGTGCTTGGTAACGGAGATATTGAAAATATGATTGAGATTTGGGGCCATGGGACATCGTCTGACAAAACAACACAGACAGATAGTTTTTCAAGCCACGAAATCAAGACTTTAACCTCCTATCCCAATAATATTGTTGCTCATCTACTAAAAAGCCATATATGTGCAGGTTGTGGGTTGGAATGTACAGAGCAAGCATGAAAAATAGCCTACGCTAAGCACACCATAAATGACAAATTGTCAGACATAGCTTCAATTGACGCGATTGTGGCATCTACGGTAAGCTTATCATTCGAACTTTTCAAAATATGATTCAATTGGAGAAAATTTAATTGATACACTCGATTGGGAAATAGATCTAAAGAGCACTCAAGGAGATTTGTAGTTAAAATTAAGAATAAAACCTCACAAAAAAATAATTAGACCCAAATTTTTACTGTGCATAATTTTTTCGTGTAACGTTCAATTGATGCGATTTTTCCATCTACGGAAAGCTTATTTTTGAAATTTTCAAAAAAAAAAAAGGTCTAATTGAAAATTTAATTGATATAATGGTTTTGGGAAATAGACCTAAAATAAACTTAAAGAGAAAAGTTAGGATATTTTTCTTCTTTTAAATCATACTAACACGATTATTGACTCCCTAGAAAGCGTGTGCATAATATTCAATTTGGCATAGGGTATTTTTGTCTTTATAATTGGTTTAACGTTTATACAGATGGTTTGGATAGAATTCAAGCTTGAGATGTTATAAGAGATGATAAAGGCAATGCAATCTGTAATTTCCATATGAAATCTAAAACAAAAAGCATTATGATTGAGATTCCAGCACATTGTTTGCCAAAACAGCACAATCAAACAAGTAGTTTCTCAAGCCATTTAATGAAATCATGACTTTAACCTCCGATACGGATAATATTGTTGCTCATCTACTAAAAAACCATATACAGCCGCAGCGCTAAGCACACCACAATAGACAAATTGTAGGACATAGCTTGAAGAGTACTTATGAATTGTGCGTTTGCATGGCCAACTAGTGCCTGAAGCATTTCAAAGCCAAGAATAAGGGGTGCCATTCATTCTCCGGTAATCCTTAGTTACAAGCTTCATATCGACCTTGGCCTAGTAGAAAGCACTCTGACCAGAGCCCCTTCATCTGGTTTTTGTGCATTGAGGGCCACGCGAAGAACTTCTCGAAGTACTTCTTAGGGTTAGTCGGGCATTTGACCGTAGCTCTAAGTATATGAAGGAAGGATGTAAAGTGCCTGTGATTATTGTTCTTTTTATACTGAGAGATGTGCCTAACTCGCCCTAAGAAACATTTTGAGATTCTTCATGTGGCCCTCAATGCATGGGGTCATACAATAAATTTAGGATTTTTTAGATAATTATTCAGACATTTTAACATTCATATTACAATTGTTATAAAATATAAAGTACATAAATAAGTCAACCTAAATCGATTTTTCGAGCAGTACTAACATGTGGATACAAGTTTATAATTCATCTGTATCTGGATAGGATTACAAATATATTTTTAATGAATAATCCGAAGCTTTGAAATAAAAGTAAAAAGAGATATAATGTATATTCACATAAGCTATTGCCGAAGTAACTTTAACTAAAACGCAAATACTTAACTGTATTCTAAACAAAAATAAAACACAAGGGAAATGGACAAAACTAATACAATGCAAAATAAGACATTGCTTATCTTTACTTATAGTAGAATGTCAGGATAAGTATATTTGAACTGCCATAACTTTCATATGGCGCTCACTTTGGGCTATAATTTTTTTTTCCGCTCACTTGAATGCCACAAATTTGAAAAAAAACGATAACTTAAGTACCATTGGGGATTTGCCTCGCCGGAAAATCAAACGTGGACGCCGGTCGTCCTACGTGGCATCGCCGGTGCTGACGTGGATAATTAATAAAAAAATTAAAAAATAAAGAAAAATCCACCTCGATTATTTCTTACTTTTTTTTCTTTTCTTTCTTTGGAAATTATGATGCATTTAGAATTGACAAAAAAATTGTATTAGCCAAAGGTTTGATTGGATTGTCTAATAATGCAATTACAATTGTCATAATTTTCTTGTCAATAACTAATTATTCTACTTAATTAGCTCTACTTTTCAATTTTGTCAATATAGTCCGAAATTTTTTAGCGATGTTTCAATGTACTCTTTCTTGCCAATTGTCACAAAAAATCGTTGACGCGGGACCTAGTCAACGTTGGCCGTCTAAGTGACATGCTGACGTGGGCAATTTGTTGATTTCCACGTCACAATTGGCAAGAAAGACTACATTTAAATATCATGCAAATATGCAGGACTATATTGACAAATTTGGAAAGTTAAAATTGAATTGACATCTGAACAATCGGTTTAGGACTAAATTGATAATTTTTCCAAATATTTAAATAATCACTCCTTCAATATACATGTGTAAGCATTTTTGGGATGAGTGCTAAAATTTTCTTACAGCGCTCACTTGAGTGCTATAAATTTGAAAAATTAATCACTTAAGTGCCATCAGTGATTTGCCTTGCCGGAAAATTTGATGTGGACACCAATCGTCCTATGTGGCATCACCGACGATGACGTGGATAATTAATAAAAAAATCCACGCCGGAATGGGAAATTAATAAAAAAATTTCACATAGGATGATTTGCCGGAAATGACACTCAAATAATCGATTTTACTCCGATATAGCACTTAAGTGAGCGAAAAAAAAGTTATGGCCCTCAAGTGAGTGCCGTACGAAAGTTATGGCACTCCTGCTCTTATCCCGTAAAATGTCTTTTCTTTGTTTATGATAATCAAGAGACAAGTAAAGAAAAACAAAAGAAAAGATTAAGAATTAAAAGAAAAATAAAATAAAGAAATAAACAAGAAAAGTTCGAGGGGTGCAAAGTAAATTTGAACCTATCAACTATTGAAAATGGAAAATGACACAAATGATTCATGGACTTTTAATTTGTTTAATGTGATCCTTGAATTTTAGCCCAATGTGCAATGTTGTCTGTGAAATTTTGGTATATGTTCAATTAATCCTTAGACTATATGAAAATGTTCAATATTGTCCTTTCATTATTTAAGTTTAACGAAATTTACTGATTTGGCTTCCAATGTGGTACGTTTGAACAGTGGACAAAAAAAAAGGTTACAGATATTCAACTGAAATTAGAATATGATAATCCTTTTTAATTTATTTAATTTTGTAAAATTATTATCCATGTTATTTGATGACGTGGTTTATTATATTCTAATTTGAGTTGAATATCTTACGTCGATGATCCACTTGTAACATTATTTTTCGTCCACTGTTTACTGGATTGGAAGTTTAATCAGCAAATTCCGTTTACTTGAATTAATGAAAGGATAACATTGGATACTTTCATATTCTCTAGGGACTAGATCTAACATTTATCAAAAGTTCATGGTCCACATTGAACAAACTAAAGTTAGGGATGATATTGCTCAATGGGCTAAAGTTATGGACGATATTGTATATTTGATCAAAATTCAGGGACCATTTAGCCCGATGGTTATTTTCAATTAGTGTTGATAATTTTGTTAAATATGTATGGTTCAATCATTAATGAATTTCCAAGCATATCCTTTATTTTATAATTGGCATTACCACCAAGTGATGTCTGTGGCCAATTTGCGTAATAGACAATGATAAGTCAATCAGATTGGGAAGAGCTGGTATTACTGTAGTTACTTCAGGTAAAAGGCTGGTGATGTCTACAACTCTATAAGAGCATTGTCCCACGGTTGTTAAAGCCATGAAATAAATATTCCAATTTGTTTTGAGAAATTTACATGTACGGGACAAAACTTGGTGTCACTTGCTACCCCATGACCTGACTGATGACACTATGGCCAAAAATAACACACAGGTCGAATCTCGGCATCCTGAGCCACCGCTTCTTTGAAACACGAGAATACATAAGGTACAAGCTACCTCAAGACGGCAATAAGTGAGAGGAAACCAAAAGAATAAGTCATGTTCTGTTTATCAAGTCAGAGTAAGAGATGAATTTTCAGGTGATCTTTTGCACCTTGGTGTTTCACGAGGGGAAGGAGGAACGCCAAACTCCCGATCGAGAATGCTCAAGTACTTTCCCTCTCCTGTGCATAGCAATGCATTAGAATGGCAGTCGATGTGCTAAAAATGACCACATCGACTCTCCTAAGATGCCTTGACTTCAGCAAATATCCGACATCAGCCATGCATGTAAAGAAGCTCTCGGTAGCCCGTGCAAGGCAGTACAGTGATATCTCGATGTGCCTGCTTTTCTTTTCAATAGCCAAGGCCAGACCAGTAGGGAACTGCCGTGAACGCAGGTACAAATGTTAAAAGGGCAGTTATGCATCAGCAGTAGTACAAATACCAGAGTCAAGAAAGAGCGTTACCGTGCCAATGGCCACCATTGGAATGTTACAATTCCTTAAAATCCTGAAAAGAATGCATGTTCACATCCTGCAAAGAGTTTCGAGAAACTTTGTAAGTAATTTTTTCATTAATTTCACCCTCAAATTACAGATCAAATGCATTGACATATTGAGCTGTATCAGCAAATTTATGTATTCTGAAATCTTTCATTTATATGTAATGGGGACAATAATGCGTCTACACACAGTTTAATCAAGTACTGCACTCATTCTACAGACCAGAGTCTGATATAAGCAAATCCAGGTTCAGCGTGCACATTAAGTCTGGCATGTAGGATCAACTAGTTCTTCTAATTTGATGCCCTTTGATGCTCTTAACATGATTGAGCTATCTGCTAATATTGCCCGAGAAATTTGTTGCGTAATTGGACAATTCTCTGGTTTGGGATTTAAGCACAAAAATGCCATCTTTGTCACCAAAGCCACTTCCCCTAGCACATTACCTTATGGGTATGGAATTCTTTGATCTAAAACTTCTTTCAGTGGCCAAGAAGCCGTTGAATTGCTCGATGATGATGATGATGCTGAAGATGAGGACGCAAGAGAAGAAATGAGATTGCCCGGATGGCCTCCCATGATTACTTCCAATGTCACCATTGCGAAGCAATAAATATTGCATTTCTCGTTCACTTTCATTATGTATGCGAGTTCCACATAGAGAAAAGAGCAATTTTTTTCTAGCTTTTATTCAATATCTACGCTTTGTACATCTAAACTGATTTTGAGTAAATCAAATCTAGAGAATTAAGTATAAATCAATACATTCTTTAGATTCCAATGGGATTTAAAACTTTCCATTTCTTTAGGAAAAAGTATCACTGTTTAAATTGGCGGTCGACATCTTAAATAATCTTTAACCTTCAAATCGCATGATAGCGTGGGGCTTGGTGTCCCGATTCGAGAAACAATTGAATAATGAGGTTGAATTTAAAAGGAAATCATGATGACCGAATTTTTTTGCATCTCCAGATCATTCCTAGACCTAAAAATAGCTCGATCGCCTAAAAAAGCATAAGAACTCTAGAACAGATCGCTACCGAAAGATTGCTTCGAACATATCACGATTGGGCAAAATTTTTTAGGCCCGATTAATGGGTAGGCCGGGCCCAAGCAAGGGTCTTGAAATCTGGCCTGCCCATACATTCACATTAAAAATATAAGAGTTATGTTTTATTAATAATGCATTCTCGATATTTAAAGTTTATAAACACTAATAGGATAAAATAAGCCGAAATTTCTAATATAGGATTGAGAAGCTATATAAAAGTGATATGTAAACTAGTAAAATAAAATAATACAAAAGCATAATATCAAATATGTTTATTTTCCATACTTATTGATTTTTTTTAAATTCAGATTATAAAAAACAGTATATAAAAAAAGGTGGTCCGATGGAGGGGCCGGCCTGCCCAAGTTTTTCGCTTGGGTGGCCTTGGGCACATGCAAAAGCAATGGACGTAAAAAAAAATGATAAGTGTATAAGAAGTCTCAAAATTTATCTGATGCTAAGTGCAAGGAATTGAGTGGACATGATATTTTTGCTCCTCCTCCAGAAATTTTGCCTAGGCCATTGGCTGCACGGGCATTGGACACAAATCAAGACATGGGTGAACCTGCACTGCGTCATGTCCGGACTTCTGTTAAAGTCTCTAATGTGAGTGAAATCTATATTTACATTAGCATGCTCTTCTGTTAAAGTTTCTTCAGGTCGTCTGTTTTTTTTATTAGTAATGGAGTTCGTTAGCCTCACTATTAGATTCTCTGACTTTATCAGCCTGCTGGAGGTCAGAGCACTATCATCTCCAATGAGGAACCTGTGATGAAAACTGCCAAGAAAATCTATGACAAGAAATTCTCCGAGCTCTCTGGAAACAACGTCTTCAAAGGTGATGCGCCTCCAACGTCTGCGGAGAAATCATTGAGTTCGGCTAAAATGAGAGAGATTAGCGGCAATGACATCTTTGCTGATGGAAAGGCAGAGTCTAGAGACTACTTTGGTGGTGTCCGCAAGCCTCCAGGTGGCGAGAGCAGCATTGCGTTGGTTTAACCAAGCTTAGGGCCTAACAGTTTTATGTTTCGAGTGTTATTCCTAGTGGGATTTGGTCCCATTTGACACTTCTGGAGTGTGGGGTTTGGGAATTGTGTTTTAGTTTTGAACTTATTGACTAGATGTACGAACTGTTTGCAGACCGGTATGTTGATAACATTGGTTTCTTCAGATTCGGATGAGAGCTCAACCGATTTATGCTTCAAATTGCATTCTCTGGTTCTTTTCCGGTGGAAGTGTCCAATAGATCAATGGTTTTCTAAGAAAAATTTCTATCCCATCCATGTTCAAGATGTAGCTTCAAACTCTGTCTATGCTCCTCATGTGTAGGATATGTCACCACTGTGTACCTTTCCAATTGCATCAAACCGACCTGTAGTAAGTTGCAAGTCACAAGGGCTTTGGCAATATGCTTCGAATTCCACGTGAAGAGAAGTGCCTTGAGTGCTGGGAATGTGTCTTGCCGACAGTATTGCTCAAGGGCTTGGTGATGCCATCATGTGAAGGTTATGAGACTTCTGGATTTGACAGGTCTTTGGAAGGCTCTGTGTTTCCTCTCGGTCCCAACAATTCATTACCCCAAGATTTTCTCCACTTTGAGAAGGCGCCCGGTCCGCCGACGAGTGTGATTTGGTGGCCTGGAACAAAAATATTCCGAGGATTCTGTCTATGGTAATGCCTCCCTTCAGGTGCTGCGATTGCTCTTGCTTCTGACAGGAGGAGAAACTTTTGCTTGTTCATCCATCAAGTTGGTGCCTCTACTTTGGGGGCAACCCCACGCCGGCGCTGGCTTTCCTGTTGCGATTTTTAACTTTTGCTTGTTCATCCATCAAGAAGAGTCACTGTTAAGGGCCCCAAACGGAAGAAAAAACAATTGGTCGAGGAAGACTAGAAACTGGTAAAACCCTCCAAGAAGTTTGGGGTTGAGTTTCCAATCAAAGGTGCAAAACTCTTATGAGGTTTGAGTCTCAAATACCGTTCAAAAAAGGGAGGGTCAAAAGGAGAAAAGGACCTAAGCCTTTGAGATGCTGAAGTCCAAACGGGTTCAACTATATGCTCTTTCTGGAATGAGAAGTTCTGTCGCATGCCGAGGGAAACAACTCTGAAGAAACTTCGGGACACTAGGCTCAAGAAAATAAGGACCTAGGACAATCTCTTCCGGTGCCTCCTCAAGACAGTTTAGCAACGACAGAAGAGAGTTGTCTTTATTCTCTGGTCGCCGAAGTTGGTCAAGCCGAGATAGAAAAGCCGAAGTGTCATAGGAAGGAGACATGGTAGGACCAGGAGAAGAAGAAAGACCTTGAAAGAGAGAAAGGTTGAAGAAATTGGACTTAGTAAAGGTAAAAATCCAATCTTGAAATTGCTTCCGGCAATAATAATAAAGGCAAAAAAGGGTAAAAGGACGGAGCAGATCACGCCACCTGACAGATTGGAGTGAGAAGAAGCGGCCAAGAAATCAAAAGCAGAAGCAACATTTCGCTCGAAGAGGACCCCAACACTGCCGAGCAAGGAGCTCTATCAGCATTGAACTAAAATGAAGGTATTTCCAAAACTGTGACTTCTGGCATGCTGCTAAGGGTTCTCGCCTTTCATGGGGTTGGCAAAGCCTATTAATGGGTAGAGAAGCGATTTCAAAGGAGGTGAGATGGAAAGTGGGTAATGGCCAGCAAATCAGAATCAAAGAGGATAGATGGTTGGAAAGGAGTGTACCGGGAGGGCCATATAACCAATAAAATCCCAATATAGTTGCTGAATTGATTGACTTAGCAGAACAACAATGGAAGGGGCAACTATTGGGGAATCTTTTTGATGAGCAAGTCGTTAATGAAACTCTAGCAACTTCACTACCAATCATCTCGACAGAGGATAAGCTAGTTTGGTCAACAAATAAGTCGGGATGCTACTCAATTAAAAGTGGTTATAATCAACTTCGAAAGTTGAAACTATACAAGACAACGGGTAGACTTTAACCTCCTACCAAACGCCCAATTCTCTGTGGAGCAAGATCTGGAAGCTAAAAACACTCCCCAGAGTCAGATTATTCATGTGGAGCATCTGCCAAAATGTGCTACCAACTAGTGTTATCTTGTATAAAAGGAAGCTTTTACCTCAGCCTCATTGCCCTAAGTGCCGCAAGAAACCCGAAACAGCGGAACATCTATTTCTCCTATCTGATAGGACAAAGCAGGTTTGGTCTAGTCCATAATTCAATTTTCAGTTCTCTCACCAACAAGTGACTAGAATCGAGGAGTGGTTGCTGAACTATGAAAATCTGACTCAAAAGAACCTACCCTTCGAGATCATTGCAGCCACTCTCTAGAATATTTGGCTAGTGCGTAATTTCTTTGTCTTCCAACACCAGATTCCTAGTCCCAGAAGCATAGTAGACTCAGCTTTTGCCATGCACTACAACTATGTGAAGTGGAACGGGAGTAACAAGGCGGGAGAACGTGCATCAGAGGTTTTACCTCCGAGGTGGAGACCACCACAACCAGGGATGCTGAAGATTAACATCAACGGATCACATCTCTCGGTCTACGGAAGGGGCTTTTGCTTTCGTGTGCCACGATTCTAAAGGGAGATTGATCGAAGGAGCCGCGCAACCAATTCAAGTATCCTCCGCCCTTCACTCTGAAACCCTTGCTTGTCTCCATGCTCTTCGACACTTTGTTGGCTAATGTGGACATAAATTTGTGCTGGAAATTTGATAGCTTCACCTTGATAAGCTTCCTACAAGATTCCTCTCTCTGCTTACGGGACGTTGAGCCTCTTATCACAGAATGTTTAGGCTTTATGGCCCTTTTTTAGAGTCTTGAACTACCCTACTACCCTCAAGATTCAAATAGATTAGCAGATTGAGTTGTAAAGACCTCAGGAGTTAAGTCCTGCCACGTTATTGGATTTCTATCACAACAGACCTCCGGTTTTATTTTTTTAAAAAAAACGAGGGTCTCGCCTAATACGCACTAAGTCTAAGTTCGGGACTTAACTCGGGCTCTCCCAAGCCCATATCATATTGCGGCTTAGGGTTTAGGGTTTTAACCTGCAAATGGTTTTTATCTAGGAATCGCCACTAATCAGTTTGGAGTGGGTCGATTGAACACCCAAGCAAGACAATGGGAGAATTGCTTACTTCTGCGAACCAGAGATTAAATGAGTTCGGGGACTTGGTTACACTAGTTGAATAACTAATGCCCTTTCGGTACCTTTTTACTTTATTCATTTCAAAAAATATTTGTCAGGCAATTTAGATTGATTTTAGGACCTTTCTCTTAATATATGATGTGATCAAGCGAGTACACAATCATTAGTGATTAGCAGTCAAGATAGATATGCAGTCTAGAGTTCTAACCCTAACTAAGGCGACAACATTCAAAACATGATAATTGATGCAATTATATTCTAATTAAAAAACACAACATGCATAATAATACAACAATGGTGAATATAACCTGCAAAGTCCTATTACATAGTTTTATAGGTCTATTCGATTTAAACATGATCATTAATCAAATATTATCGCGTAATTTAGAAAATATTTAAAAAAAACTAATTTCTAAACTTTATTCTTAAAAAAAAACGAATTTTTTTAGAAATAATAATAATCACGATTACAAAAAAAAAAAATTTTAAAATTTTTTGATTTTTTTAATTAAAAAATAATAAATTAATATAATAATCAGATCGGGTCGGGTCGGAGGACTCGGGTTGGGTCAGAACCGACATAGGTCAACAGACCTGACCCATACGTGTTGACCCGGGTCGAATCTTCGGATTCGAACCGAGTCAGGGGCAACCCGGGTCGTTAACCCAGGTCCTGGATCGAATCGAGCCCGGTTAGGTCCCGGTCCGGTGAAAAGGACAAAACAGGGCCGATTTAGGCCTTTTTCAACCTTTTTAGGCTCGGGAGGCCATCGGTCGGGCAAAAATCCGGTGATTTGCCGGTTATTTTGCTAGGCTTTTGGCCTCAGCCCCCTCAGTACTTTAAGCTGAGGGGATTGAGAGAAGGATGATTCGCCGGCGGCTGACCGGAGTGGTCGCTAGCCAAGTCCCGACCAGGGCCCCCTTGAGCTCAAATGCCGGTTAGAGCTTGGCCGGACGACCCAAGTCATATTTTGATCGTGTCCGGCCTCCACCAGCCATCACGAAGATAGTCAAGGGGGTGGAGACTCGCCGGTTAGCCCACAGGTCGTCGGCCAATGACCCAAACAAGGCAGCTTCACTGGAGCATTTCGTCGAACACATAGCATGCACAGATAAAAACAAGAGATTTCGACCTGTTTTGAGGTTTCGGCCAGCTCCGACGGCCACGGCTTGCTCTCGACGACGACTATGGACTGAGAGGAGGATCGGTATGAGCCGGAATTGGCATGAAACAGCCGGCACGAGTCCCGGCCAACCGATAGACCAAAAGAGGGGAAAACAGGGGTCGGGGCTTGCGTACCGATCGGGCTGCTTCCTGGTGGCTTGTCGGCTGCTCCGCGAGCGACGACGAGACTACTAGGACCTGAAAAACACTCCGAGACTTGCCCCTTTACCCTCTTGTTTATCTCAAATTCTCTCTTTTCTCTCTCTGTCTTCTCTGTTTCTGACCAAAAACTCCCACCCATCTCTCCCCTCTCTCTCTCTGCCTTTTATAGTGGATGCTGGCCAACTGCTCCGCCCGAAAGTTGTTGTCATTAATGGCCCCTGCGTCGGCCTAGCTGCTCTGTGACTTTTGTGGCTGCGGCTGGGCAATGGGGCGGAAAGTCTTCCTCCCCAGGCGGCCGGTCGGGTCAGGGGAGAGTAGAGGGGAAAAGAGAGAGGGACAAGCGGGCCAGAGGAGAAGAAGGAGCGGACTGGGTCGGGCCCAGCCTGCGCATGGGGAAAGGAGAGGAAAGAAAGGCAGGCTGGGCCCACGGGGGGAAAAAGGAAAGGGCCGGGTTCGATTCGGCCCGACCCGAATTAATTTTTTTTTTAAAAAAATTAATTTTTTTTAATTTTTTTAAAAATATATATATTCTATTATTGCAAAATGCACCTATGTCTATATGCAATGCAATTGAAACTAAATAATTTTTTTGGTTTAGGGATTAAGGATATTAATCCCTAAATTTTGTGTAAATAATTTTGGGCAATTAAAAAATAGGTGTCAATAGTTTCTTACCCACTACCCCCTCTATGGGAGATCT